CAAGCTAAATAATCTGCACACACTATGGAATAAAAGAGAAGAAATGTCAGAAATTTGTTTGTGTATATGTATATAACAAAATACATACATGTAAAATCAACGATGTACAACTAGAATCAATGATGTTCTTTAAAGAATGGTTTTCATTTAAAATGAATTATTCAAACAACTCATATGCTATAATTATTGCTTCTTGTTTATTCCTGTGATTTACATAACAAAGTTACTAAAACATTACTTTACACATGTGGGGTTCGGTGTTGACAGTCTAGAAGCAATACTTTCAACTAGAGTAGTACCTAGGGGTTGCTTTATTAATTATACAGCTTGAATTTTTGTAGCAGGTCCTCGATCCAAGGCTTCACCAAAACGGTAACCCCCAAAAACACTAACATAACATAAACGTTTAAATAACAACATAATAATAGAACATTAAACATTCTCTCTGTTTTCTCATCTTAATAAAATAATTGCATAAAATATCACTTTATTTAAAAATTTACATTTCACCCCTGTGCAAAGCATGATGGGAAGTGAATATCATGTATAGGTTACTAGATTGAAACATATTTCAAAATTAAAACATCAAGTGAAGTCAAAGTGAAGTGACCATTTCAAGTTAGTTTAACATGAACTAATCACATTTTAACAAGAAACCCCATACAATTAAAACATAATTATGTTTAAATTATATATTAATATATGTACTGAATGTGTGTGTATGTGTGTATCCAAGTAATGCAGGTGTCTTCTTTGAAACACAAAGTTAATCTGAAGTTAAACCTGCCTCCTGTTAGGTTTAATTTAAGACTCAATTTAGTCCTGGAGTAACTGTAGTCTTCCTCCAGGAAATCGGCTTATTAAACTCTGGATTAAACTAAATCTAGGACTATTTAAACTAAGCCATGACATAGAAAGCAGATTTTTGTTAATCAGGTTTAAAGGGCCGTTTATTCTAGGACTAGGCTTAATCTCTGTCCGGGAAACCGCCCCTATAGGGTTTTTTGTAGTAAAACAATGATTCGTAAGGGTAGCCTACACCTAAACATGAACATCATTACTAAATGGAATGCAGACAAATTTATCAGTTGACTTTGCTGCCTGCACATTTTCTATATAAAAACAACAGTGCTGCAAAAACATACTTCCCTAAGGAATTCATTTCATTTGACATTTCATTTTGAAAGAGTGTATTTTCACATTTTATTACTTTTCACATTGCTTTACTTTATTCATTGGTTTAGTCAAATATATAAAAAGACTCATACAACCAGTATTGGATTCAATAGTTATTATTGCTGCTGAAGGGAATGGAAAATACATATGATTATTTTAGGTAATCATAACTGTGAAACAAATATTTACCTAGGCCCCAGCTTTAACAAATGGGGTATCATTACTTGGGTTACAGTTGTATGGGGAACCTCTTGAGAGAGTTAGGGGTTTCAAGTTTCTTGGGGTCTTGGTAGATGAAAAGCTAACGTATAAAGAACATGTATGTATAGTGGTGAATAAATGTGGAAAGATTATTAATATTTTGAGGTGTTTGAAGGGGTGCTCTTGAGGTGCAGAAAGGAATCTTATGCTGATGATTTATAAAGCTAGATGATAAGATCAGTTTTTGATTATGGCTGTCTTGTATATACACTCACCGGCCACTTTATTAGGTACACCTGTCCAACTGCTCGTTAACACTTAATTTCTAAGCAGCCAATCGCATGGCGGCAACTCAGTGCATTTAGGCATGTAGACATGGTCAAGACAATCTCCTGCAGTTCAAACCGAGCATCAGTATGGGGAAGAAAGGTGATTTGAGTGACTTTGAACGTGGCATGATTGTTGGTGCCAGAAGGGCTGGTCTGAGTATTTCAGAAACTGCTAATCTACTGGGATTTTCACGCACAACCATCTCTAGGGTTTACAGAGAATGGTCCGAAAAAGAAATAACATCCAGTGAGCGGCAGTTCTGTGGGCGGAAATGCCTTGTTGATGCCAGAGGTCAGAGGAGAATGGCCAGACTGGTTCGAGCTGATAGAAGGGCAACAGTGACTCAAATAACCACCCGTTACAACCAAGGTGGGCAGAAGAGCATCTCTGAACGCACAGTACGTCGAACTTTGAGGCAGATGGGCTACAGCAGCAGAAGACCACACCGGGTGCCACTCCTTTCAGCTAAGAACAGGAAACTGAGGCTACAATTTGCACAAGCTCATCGAAATTGGACAATAGAAGATTGGAAAAACGTTGCCTGGTCTGATGAGTCTCGATTTCTGCTGCGACATTCGGATGGTAGGGTCAGAATTTGGCGTCTACAACATGAAAGCATGGATCCATCCTGCCTTGTATCAACGGTTCAGGCTGGTGGTGGTGGTGTCATGGTGTGGGGAATATTTTCTTGGCACTCTTTGGGCCCCTTGGTACCAATTGAGCATCGTTGCAACGCCACAGCCTACCTGAGTATTGTTGCTGACCATGTCCATCCCTTTATGACCACAATGTACCCAACTTCTGATGGCTACTTTCAGCAGGATAATGCGCCATGCCATAAAGCTGGAATCATCTCAGACTGGTTTCTTGAACATGACAATGAGTTCGCTGTACTCAAATGGCCCCCACAGTCACCAGATCTCAATCCAATAGAGCATCTTTGGGATGTGGTGGAACGGGAGATTCGCATCATGGATGTGCAGCCGACAAATCTGCGGCAACTGTGTGATGCCATCATGTCAATATGGACCAAACTCCCTGAGGAATGCTTCCAGCACCTTGTTGAATCTATGCCACGAAGAATTGAGGCAGTTCTGAAGGCAAAAGGGGGTCCAACCCGTTACTAGCATGGGGTACCTAATAAAGTGGCCGGTGAGTGTAGATCAGCAGCTAGGTCCATGCTTAATAAGTGAGATGTGGTTCAATCTAGAGCTTTGAGAATGTATTGGGGTATTCCGAACAACGGCGATTCTGTCGCTGCTAGTGGAAGCAGGGGAGGTTCCGGCCGTTGAGGTAAACTAGTCGAAGTTGGCATTGAATTATCTTGTAAAAATGAAAAGCTCTGGATCAACTCTAATTCAGTTTCTTTGTTAGAAGAGTGTTACGAGTTTAGTAAGGGTGAGAGTAGACTTAATAGGTATAGTGTTTTATATTCTGTTAAGACAAACGCAGAGGAGTTTAAGCTTAATGGAAGGAAAATGGTGCCTTCTGTCTATTGGTCACCTATCCCTCCTTGGCTATTGCCTGAGGCTGATGTAGACATATCTATTGAAAAATGTAATAAAGAAAGGAATTAGACGCTTCAAGTATAGCACATAAACAATACCTGAGATTTTCATTGTCACACTTTGTAAGTTGATGTTCCAGCCGTGACTTCACAGAAATGGTAACCGTTAGTATAAACAAAAGAATCGTCACGTGGTCAAAACTGGATAGGACCAATAGAATGTAAACGTTAAGACAAAAAATATGATATAACATTCATTTTCTGTCATTGTATGTTGTGGCGTCGCGTCTGGTTTGAACACTGTGTAAAAACTGAAACAGTCAATGTGGAATGCATATAAAAATAGATGATAGAACATGCGAAGGAATTGTTTTATGTAAGAAAATTCAAGAGAAGTCATTCATAATTAAAGCTGCAAGCAGCGATGGGCGGGCCCTCGCACCTGTAGCACGTCGGGGTCTGAGGCGGCCGCGTTACATTTTCTGCAGCTCAGCCAGTGCGGCTGTGCATTTGCTACTTTGCTTCATTAAAGGTCACTTCCTGTTGCCAGCAGGTGGCGCTATGACTGGTGGGTGAATGTCGGCATGTAGATTTGTTCAGGGCGGGACTCTTGTCAAAGGTGTGAAATTTCATGCATATCTGGGCTTTTACAACCAAGTTACTACAACTTCCTGTCTCATGGCGAATCATCGACGCCACGGACACGCCATTGAGGAAAACGCGCAGATAGCACAACTTTTCATCATCAATGCCTTTAGAAGGCACAGCAGAAATTTGAAGTCGATCCGACTAAATCCCTAGGAGGAGTTAGTTTAAGTACGTAATGAGTAAATCATCGAAAAATGGCTGTGAAATTAGAAATGGCCAACTTCCTGTTGAGTTTAGGGCATCACTCCAAGAGACTTTTCTGTGCGTCTGGACATGGTAGATGTACCACAGAAATTTCTTACATGTCGGTCAAACATGCGGCGGGGGCTGCTTCGTTAAAAGTCACTTCCTCTTGCCACTAGGTGGCGCTATTAATGTGGGTGAATGATGGCATGTAGATTTGTTCAGGGCGGGACTCTTGTCAAATGTGTAAAATCTCGTGTAGATCTGGGTATTTACAGCCAAGTTACTACAACTTCCTGTTTCATGGCGAATCATCGACGCCACGGACACGCCCATCGACGAAAACGCGCAGATAGCACAACTTTACATCGTCAATGCCTTTAGAAGGCACAGCAGAAATTTTAAGTCGATCCGACTAAATCCCTAGGAGGAGTTCGTTAAAGTACGGAGTCTGTAAATCGTCCAAAAATGGCCGCCAAATTCAAAATGGCGGACCTCCTGTCGAGTTTAGGGTATGGGTTCTTGAGGCTTTTTTGTGCGTCTTGATATGATACACGTCCCTACCAAATTTCGTGCATGTAGGTTGAACGTGGACGAGGGGCTAATTTTTTCCAATTTTCTAGGTGGCGCTAGCGTGCCATTTTGCCCCGCCCATCTGCGAAACCCACAAAATACTAAATTTTTCACCAGTCCTGACATGCGTGCCAAATTTGGTGAGTTTTTGAGCATGTTGCGGCCCCGAAAATGGCACTTACTTTGCAGAAAAAAGAAAAAAGAAAAAAATAAATAATCCTAAACTAAAAAAAAACTAAAAAAAGTTAGTGCTCGGGCCCTAATAAAGCACTATTTTTTACAAAAACAAAATCTCTAGAGAATGAACGCTATTTGAGCATTTGATTTAGCAGTAAAATCTTCTGAAGTCAGACTGAATTATTAGACAGAACGACACATTTGATACAGTAGAATAATTTAATGTTTACAGTAACATGAGTCTCAAACTCCATTAGATGCACATAAACATATTTATATTTCATTCTAGTTTTCAGTGATTTACTGCAGTTTATTTCTAGAATGACAAACCCGAATAAGTGTCTGAAGGTGAATTATTTTTCCTGTCGACTACTTTCATGACACAACATGAACGAAAGTTCCCACTCCATGACACAAGCAAACCTAATCCAAGCTGAATTAAGACTGTTAAACGTAAACTCAGCTGAGACTGTAGTTTAGGAAGCGAATGTGCATGAAAATAAAGCCTGTAAATCATCAAAACAAACAACAAAAAGGCAACAAGTATATTTGCTTTTATAAATGTTGACAGCACTAACATGAGAGGAATTAACCAAAATACAGACAAGACACTTTTTTAAAACATTTTGATGTGCATTAATTGGACTCATCTTACTCTCACTTCAACAGTGGGAAAGCTAGAATTACTGGACCAAATCTGTTTTAATGCCATATTGAAATTTTATAATTCAGTGAAATAATTTTAGAAAGACTTTAGATGCCATATTAAATCAGACACAATGAAAACAAGGCTGTGAGAGATATTAAACCAAATGTTCACCCAATGAAATTAGCATTTCCACAAATTAAGTGGAAAAAACAAAAGTGATGCTGCATTGATGTCATGTTAAAATCACCGTAATTACGAGTTCCTGATTAATAAAACCAACTAGTAACATTTTTTATTACCTGTCGACTGTTGTGATATGAACATAAGAAATAAATATATTTAGTTTGCGATACTTTGATATTTACTATATTTTGATAAAGATTTAATATTACTGTAATATTATATAAAGAATGTTTAAATGTACTTTCATCCCGGACCCTCACAGCTTTGTTTTCATTCACATCTAAACTGTTTAAAGTGTAAAGCAAGAACAGTCATGATGTGCTCTTCCAACACAATCTATATGATCAGATTTTTAAATCAATAAATCAATAATCTCACTGATTTGCCAGGTTTAGTTGATCACTGCTGTCTGAGAGCCTGAGCGAGTCGGCGGGAGTCAAGCGGTCATTTTCTCTTGGTCTTGATTCTCTTTCTTCTCATTGGTCGGTTGAGGCTTTGGAGGGGGCGTGTCCAGCCGTGCCCAGGTTATAGGCTCCGCCTTCTTCATGACCACCTCCACTTTAGAGGCCATCATGTTAACAACACTCTTACTGACGTCAATCACCTGTCAAACACACAATCACATATCAACAAAACGACACAAATACACTGCAAAATCATGACCTTTGAATTCTTCTTTTGTCATTAATATACAGGGACAAAACCATTCAATGGATCATGTCTAATAAACACACAGGTAATGTGCTTTTCCTCTTATTTGTGCTGTAACGCTCATCTAATGGATGATATTCACACTATAAATCATTGACTTGAAAGTGTTAAGTCTCTTCACATTAAAATGTCACATTTGAAAACAAGTTTGTATGTAGGCACAATTTATATTTGTCTCCCAGTGTTATTATAATATTATTTATATACTATTATAATATTTATTATTTTTAATTATTTTTTCAGCTTTCATTTTAATTTCACTTTTAGTATTTTTGCTCTGCTTTTTGTACTTTTATTTTTTTTTTTTTTTTTTTTTTTTTTTTTTTTTTTTTTTTTTTACTTTATTCAGGACTCAAAAAGAAAGGTCCATAGTACAAAAAACAAAACAAAACAAAAACAAAACAAAAAAAAAACAGTTACAACAAGCAATAAATAAATATAAAATACAAAGTTCATTACCTTTCATTTGCAATATACAAACAGGTGCGCCAATGTCTCCACAGTCTAGATGTAAACCTAACAGAGCTAAAATTACTATGGGCTAAAGCTTGTATAATCCTGTTTTCAGAGACAGAAATTCTACACATGTATCGAAAAATAAAATTTCTTATTAAGGCAGTACAGGTAGGCACACCAACATTTACAAACATCTGACTGGCACTACTCCATCTTGGTTGTTTTAAAGCAGTCTCATACCATCGTTATACGCAACAATCAGTCTCTGCATGTTCTTTTTGCTGTACGACCGCCACAAGTGGGCAGTATATAGAGGTGTACAGAATGCTTTGAATAAAGCCACCTTAACATAAGCAGAACACATGCCAAATTTACGTACCAGCACATTAGCCTGACCATATATCTTACGACACTGTCTATTGATGTCCTTATCATCCGATAAATCATTTGCAATATGATGGCCAAGATATTTTATCTCTTCACACACTTTAAGGGCAGTACCAGATAGAAAGAAAACTGGGAATACTAAATTCCTGTCTTCTTTTGTTCTGACTATCATGACATTGCTCTTACTTGCATTATATTTGATATTAAAATCTGCACCGTACTGAGAGCAAACCTTTAACAGTTGTTGCAACCCAGCACTATATGGGCAGATGATTACCAAATCATCTGCATACATAAGGTGATTAGTGAGAGTATTTCCTATCATGCATCCTGTATTACATTTATTTAACTGTTGAGACAAGTCATCCATATAGACATTAAAAAGGAAAGGTGACAAAATACCACCCTGACGAACTCCATTACCAACAGTGAAAGGTTCTGATACAAGGCCTCCCCATTTGACCTGCATGGACTGGTGTGCATACCAGAAGACTAAAATTCTTATAATCACTTTTGGTACTCCTCTATGTTGCAATTTACTAAACAATTTTGCATGGTTAACCCGATCAAATGCCTTAGAGGCATCGATAAAACACATAAAAGTTGTCGAATTCTGACTATTATAATGGTCTAAAATTTCCTTTAAGGCAAATATACACATATCTGTACCGTGTTGACGTTTAAAACCAAATTGATTGTCAGTCGTACAAATATATTTTTCCATCCTGTTAAAAAGGATTCTCTCCAGCACTTTGGATACTATGCTAGCAATGGCAATAGGTCTATAATTGTCCATGCTGTTAATTTTGCCAGTTTTGTCTTTAATAACAGGCACCAGTAATACAGGTAAAATAGATTCAGGTAGAATCCCATGAACTAAGAAACCTGTCAAACAGATGGCAAACAGGGGAACAAGTTTCGTGCTTGCATATTTTAGATGTTCAGCGGTTATTTTATCGGTCCCACACACTTTATTATTATCTAAACCCAATATTGCAGATTGTACCTCCTCTGAATTAATAACCACATTTTCATCATCCTCAATTTTTTTCACCACAAAAGTATTCCTCCCAATACAATTAAACAGCTCTTGATAATATTGCCGCCACATCTGACAAATTGCATCTGAGCCACTAACACCCTCAATATTTGCGGGTAAAGATACTTTATTACTGTTCATGCCTCTAACCTCTTTCCAGAAGTCATTATAGCATTTGTTATGCAACTTATATGCCAAAGAATCAGACCTCATTGAGTTCTCATTCTTTTTTATATATCTTAATGCATATTTAAAATTGGCATTTGCCCGTTTCTTCGCTTCAAATAAAGGGCCCTGTCTATTTCTACCAGACTCTATCCAGTCTTTAAATGCACTCCGAGCTATGGCATGAAGTTCAGACACATGCTCATTCCAACCAGGTTTAATGGTATATGCCTTTCGCTGAGGTTTATAAAAATGCCTACTGGCGATATTAAGTGTTTCCACAATTGAGTCATATAAACCACATAGATCTTTACCATGTTGTAGATTCTTACAATTAATATCCCGACAACTCATGGCATCTTTGGGCAATGCAATGTTTCCTAACAACCCATCAGTCCTTGCATAGTACTTCTGGAGATCTTCCATGGTTAATTTAGACCAGTCAAGTTTTCCAGGGTTCAAGTTATTAACCACCGTAGTTAACATTGGTAAATTTTTCACATTCAAAGACAGAGAAAATGGTATATGATCGGCAATGGCAAGATCGTAATGAATCGTCATTGAATCCAAAGAAGCGTGAGCATCAGCTGTACATACACAATGATCTAACCATGAGCTGGTATGCCATGCCTCACTGATATACGTATAACTGTTATTGGGCAAAATAACCTTGCTTGACAACATTAAACCAGAGTCAGCACAAAAATGCATTAAGTGGTCAGCAAATAGAGAGTTTGCATCAGAAATATCCGCATTCATGTCTCCTACAACAAAAATACAGGTAGAGGCATTATCCTGAATAAAAGAGCCTACAAATGCTAATCTATTTAAGAATTCAGCTTCATTTTGAAGACACTCATAAGGAGTGTATATATTCAATAAAATAAACTTTGTATCTTGACAATTAAACTCAATACCAATTGCCCAATCTACACCCAATCTTACCACTGATATTAGTGAATCATAGTTCTTATTCCAGAGGATAGCCACGCCCCCAGATATCCTACCTCTGACAATTTTAGTACTTAGATCAGTGGTAGATTCCCCAGCACCATAAAAACCGTTATGAAATGTATTTAGACCCTCCAGATCCTGTTTAGCAAGAAAGGTCTCTTGAATACACATAACATCACAATTGTCAAGAAGCTTATCGACCACAAGGCGACGCGACATATCCCCAGCGCTATGCCCGAGACGCAGGCCACGTGCATTATATGATCCAATCCGAAACTTCATATTAGGTCTTTTATAAGGACTGCGCTGAGCTCACTTGCCCATTGACTTGAGTCGTAGTAAACACCAGATTACGACCACCAGGAGGGACTGCAGCGGCTTGTTCTTGACGCGGACATCCAGTGTTTCTCTCCACTCTATGCCCTCCATCAGCTGACGAGAGGCGGGGCAGACGAGCTTCATAGTAACGCCGAACATAAACTCCTGCCGGCCATAGTTGTGGATCGTACATTTCCTTTACTTCATTGCATTCAGCCGAGGCTTGAAACGAGCTGAATCTATTTCGTGCCGATTCAATCTTCCGACACTCGACTGATCTGCCCAGTTTATTTGACAGGTAATTACTTAAGGTGTCAGCTTCAAGATCAGGAGCAAATCTAGTGGCAAACACACTCACCAGTCTGGTCTTGACCACTTTAATATTACTCCCATCACCAGTTCCAACTATTCCGATCTGTTTTCTCTCCTTTCTCACTGGTACACGAGTGTAGGGTTTAGACTGTGTATGCCCCGCAACAGCATTCGCGTTGTTCTGCTTCTGTTTTATACGTCGACCATCTTTCACAACCGTGCTCCATTTAGGGGACTGTGGTTGGGTTTGTGGAGGCAAGTTCAGTTCCGCGATTTCCGATGGAGTATCCGATAGGGTGCCTAGAGCCAGGGAGGTCACAGATCGTCCTTCTCCCCCCCGGCCCGGACCGATAGTGTGGTCAAGCGGTTCGTAAGGCCTCTCCAATTGTGCAACGCGCTGATCCACAGCCGCCGTAACCGCTCTTAGATCCTCACATACGCTTATTTGGGTTGCCATGATGTTTTTCATATCAGACACTTCCTTGTTTAGCTGGTCAATCCTACCAAGGAGTGCTGATACATCAATACTATTGAAGGTAACAGGTGGAAGCTCATCCAGATAATACGATACAAATCTTGGGATATCTTCCCCACACTCGTTAAGGACCTTTAGGCACGCTTTGACGTTATTAACATCCTTCTGAGGACCCTTGTGCGAAACACATCGTTGAGACGTTTTCGGACAGACTTCAAAGAGTAGCTTCTTTGACTCCTCAATCCACTCCGACGGAAAATTAGTTGAAGCCAACATTACGATTTCATCCTGGCTCAGTGTCCTCATTTTAGTAACAACAAAGTTTAAAAATTCGTCTTCCACTATCAGTTTGCCTTCTACTGTTTTAAAAATCTCGGGCTTTGTACGAGCGCAAACTTTTTTGCCACCAGCCTCACGCGAGTGAGCTGCATGCGCCATCTTCGCGGATATGGCGCGGATCCATTTATTTTAAATTTTAATAATTTCAGCACTTCAACTTGAAATGATTTCTTTCCGTTCTTTTAACATCTCACGTTTGTTTTTACTTTTTATCTAATATTTAATTTTTATTTTAGCTTTATTTCAATAACACTGTTACCACAAAGTAATTTCATGCACTTAAGCATGAAACAAAAGTTTTTTAAGATCATAACAAAATAAAACTTTTCAATACAAGTTTATCAAATTATCTGAACAAATAGTGTTATTATAGTTAATAAATGTTTTTTTTATTTAGTGTTACTTTTAATAAAATAAAAACTGAAATAAAATGAAATATAAACATGAAATTGATTTAACTTGTTGTATTTAAGCCATTTGCCAAGGCAACATTTTTGTTTAGTAACTAAACTGAAATAAAAAGTAAACCAATACAATGAAATAAAACTAACAAAAACATAACACAAAAATGCAAAATAAAGGCCAGTTCAAGATTTGCATAAATAATGTTATCTCAAAGACACTAAATGTGTTTTAACGCAGATAATGGAGGGATCCTGAAACTCACCCCCCACAGGCTCATCTTCAGCTCAAACTCTTTTTCTCCCTCAAAGATCAGACGGATTTTCAGCTGCCGAAACAATCATTCATCAGACAACAAAAGTACAGACAATGAATAAATAACACCACCACACTGGACAATGGCAAAAACACATATATTGCACAGTATATCACTTTACACAGGGGAACTCCCTCACCGAGATGCAGTTCGCCTCCACAGAACAAAGCTCAGGATTCGAGTTCTTTGCATAGATAGACATGGTCACATGACTTCCTGTCTGGTGCCAATCAAATCGACATGGAGCCACTTTGTTCCCCTGCAGACACAGAAAACACACGCGTTTGAGAATCATAGTATATCATGTGATATTGACCTGATGATGCAAAGCTCACCGTGTGTTTCCTCCACTGGTGTGATCCTTTATTACAGCCGTCCTGAGACAGGAATGAGTTAAAATCAGACGTCTTCCTCTTACAGCAGCTCCAGTACTTCATCCTGAAACCATGCATGCGCATAAAATACCGTCTAAAAATATGAAATAATTGCTTTTCAACATCAGTTATAAATTGTCCTCACCCCTCGTGGAAGATGGGCACTCCGGGATGATACGAACACGTTTCTTCATCAGTCTTTGGTCCGTTGTATGTCTGATAATCATAATAGGATAATATTATGTTATGCATTTAACAATGTTAAAGAGGCCATATTAAGTCTTGATTATTATTTTTAATATTATTATTTAAAAAAAAACGAACAGGAGTTTATTGTAAAGTGACCATACAGAATAAATGTTTTCTAACCTTCGAGCAGCCTCCATTTTTACACGCCGTCCCAACTTTGACCTCACTTCCTTCCTCTTCTGAAGGTCAAAAAGATGCACATTTCAGGTTTAGCATGAGATGGTCATGTGACTAAATAAATGAGAATGAATCTAGATCCTCCTCATGTTTATAATGATGTACCGTCACCTTTCTCTCGGAGCGGAGCGGCGTCAGCGAGTCTGAGTTTCTCGAGCGTCTGGTTCAGAGACGAGGAGACTTTCCTCTGCAGCTCCACCAGCGGCTCATCAGCGCTGAAACAACATTTATAAAGCACTTTATACAATACAGAGCAGCTTTAGCAGCCATTATAATGATGATGATGATGAGGAAGAGTTACCTGGGTCTCTGGATGAACTCCAGTGGTTTGGGGGCCTGGATGATGTACTCATTAAACCTGGGTTTCAGATCCTCCAGCTCTTTCTTCTCTTCTGAGATCTTCACGTCTGGTTTCACGGGTTCAAGCGGCTTCTCGCTGTTATGAGGACCTTTAGTGCAGCCCTGACAGAGAACCAGCCACAAAACAGGAGACATTTGCATGCATTTGCTTTATCTTAGAGACACAACTCATGGATATCGAAGAGATAAAGGAATTTTACATGGTTGAGATATCGGTTAGCAACTGACAGTTTGAGAATTAAAGCACATCAATGCAAAACAGAAAATAGTTGTCCTGTTTCTTTTCTTTCTCACTTACCGCAATACTAAGAAAATCTGAGAAGTCTGTTGTGCGTCTCTTACAACACGACCAACCCTGAAGAAAGAAAGAGATAAAGAAGGGCGGGTTGAAAACATTCGGGATAGCCCCTACAACTGACTGTAGTCTTTAACCTCTGGCCAAAAAATGGAGAATTTTTCCCAGACAAAAAAAACAAAAACATAAATCTCTCATTTCAGGGGGATATGAGGGTGGAAAGCATTGATATTTGAAAATACTACAATACAGGTCTCCTACAAAAACAAAGCTTGATGCTAAATCCTGAAGTATCCCTTTAATATATCCACGATCTTCAGACACTCACCTTCAGAGCATCATGAAACACAGGAACTCCAGGATGGTACGTACATGCATCTGAAAAACACATCAGAGGATGCAGGCTGATTTACATGCAATCTACAAGCAATCACATCAGTACTGCATAGCACAAGCTGACCACTGCTGATCCTGCAGCCAATGAGATCGCTTGCTCAACATTGAAATAGTCTGGTTCAGTGTTTGCTGTAAGAGTTCCTCTGAACTTCCTATCCCCCCTGGTCACCCTCTTTTGTTTGCTTCCCTATTTAAAGGGTTAGTTCACCCAAAAATGAAAATTCTGTCAGTATTTACTCACCCTCATGTTGTTCCAACCCCGTAAGACCTTCGTTCATCTTCGGAACACAAATTAAGATATTTAAGATCGCTCCTGCATACAGTCCATAGGCTTCTTGAGGGACTGGCTCTTGCTGTCCCCGAAAAGTCATTAAAGACATCGTTAAAATAGTCCAAGTGACTACAGGGGCTCAATCTTAAGTTTATCAAACGACGAGAACACTTTTGTGCGCAAAAAAACAACAAAAATAACGACTTTATTTCAACTATTCACTTCCTTCTCCATGAGCCTGTAAGTCAGTTAACGTAGTGTGATTGCGTAGAGCTACGTCACACGTAGGCTCACTATTGGCCGACGCTGGTCATGTGTGTGTGATGCGTGTGACGTACAATAACAGAAGCTTACGCTATTAAACTAGTAACCTGACTCGCGCAGAGGGAGAAATAAACGAGTAGTTGAAATAAAGTCGTTATTTTTGTTGTTTTTTTGCGCACAAAAGTGTTCTCGTCGTTTGATAAACTTAAGATTGAGCCCCTGTAGTCACTTGGACTATTTTAACGATGTCTTTAATGACTTTTCGAGGACAGCAAGAGCCAGTCCCTCAAGAAGCCTATGGACTGTATGCAGGAGCGATCTTAATATCTTAAATATCTTAATTTGTGTTCCGAAGATGAACGAAGGTCTTACGGGGTTGGAACAACATGAGGGTGAGTAAATACTGACAGAATTTTCATTTTTGGGTGAACTAACCCTTTAATCTCCTTGTTTTCAGTCCTGTGCTGGTTTGTCAAGCAGAGTCAGTGTGGCATGTGATTACAAACATCAGCTTACTATATGGATAATTATAAAATAATAATAATAAAGATAATTCATATAAAATATACAATTTGTAAGCTTATGCTTTAAGTATGTAATGTTTCAGGAAAATAATAATATAGCAAATATTAAGTTGTGTGGCATTTTCTCTTTACAAACTATTGATCTTTTATACAATAAATCATGTTTGGTGATGATTTATTAAGATGTAAGCCCTTGTTACGGATAGCACATAACTCATTGAGCTCTAGTAGTATGAAGTGGTGTCCAGTCCAGTTCACAATAACACACTTATATGCATTATATTATATGAAGCAAGCCTTATATTTCTAATAACACTGACATTAACACTGCATTTCTGACTCCAACAGAAACCAGAGCCATGCATGCTCTCGTTTGGTCATTGAAACGTACGAGTATGAAGATAAATAACAGATAACGCGGTATACAAAATAATAAGTTACACTTTCGATCATGAATAAACTTTGTTAACTAGATTAGTGTAACAAACACTCACCCTCCGGATTGATTTCTGGATCAAACCGCTGCCCGCAGCCTTTATTATAACACAGCACAGACATTACGGACGGTTCACGATACTGATGAAGTATTCACAACCCGTAATAATAACAATTTTTTTTTTAAATCTGAAGGTTCGGATTTTGATGTCTGGCGCGCGCGTGTATTTTGTCCCTCGCGCTGGATCCGGAAACTCGCGACGCGTTCGGGAAAATTCCGGAAAATTCGCGAACTTTTCTGACACTCGACCGCAGAAACGGAAATAAGTGGGTAGAGCGGCGGTCAGTCTCAGAGTTTACAGGTGGTAAATATGGTGGGTCTATTAACTATATTTATAAATTATGACGATCCACTGTCTGTTTTTAATTGAATGTTTTTTTATGGTTTCTCGCTGGCGTTATTTAATGTAAATAAATTATTGTCCTGAGCGCTGCAGAAGCAAGCGTTGTCACGTGGTAGCGGCTACTTTTCTCAGCGCTCGTCAGAATGAGCCAATCACAGTCGATTACGATTACTTGATGAGGCGTTTTATAAAATTAATTTTCTACATTTTCTATCACAGATACTAATTCTTGGAAATTAATTAAACCTTTCAAGCTGTCTATGTGTCTTCAATAAAGGAAATAAATGTATTGAGATTTGAATGTTTGGGATGGAGGATTCGCCTTTCTGAGCCATCAAACGCCCCCTGGAGGAAAATACTTATATGCCCAACCAGAAAAAAAATATTACCTCGATAATTTTCCTCGACACACCCGAACCAGCACATGGCAGGGACTCGTGCAATATCGGCAAAAATCGGAAACACGGTCTCTAGATTTGCTTCAGGCTAGGGTTTTTTTAATCTATATCGAAAAAACCCGAATTTGCACTTAAATAAAATATACAATTATTGTATAAACAATGTATATGTATTGTATATGTATATTATAAATTTTTATATATATATTTACATAAAACATAGAATTATTGCTGCATTATATAATATTATGAACACATCTCAATTAAGATATGCATTTGCTTTACATGTAATAAGCTGGAAAAGCTCTTGTAAAATTATTTAAAAACTATTATGAATACATACATCACTATGTAATTAAATGCACCCTATCACTACAAAAAAAGCTAATATGCTCATTTACATGTGATAAGTTAAAGCTCATTTTTAAAGTGCCTTTACATTTTTTGGAGCAATGAAAAGACATTGTCTATAAAAAAAAAAAAAAAAAAACACCTGCATTTATATATATTTTCCCCCCTCAAATGTTACCTTGTTATATCTTATATACACACATACATATGCCTAATGCTGTATAACATTACTTTAGATATTGACATCAGATATTTTGATAAATTTACCATGATAAGAAACAACACTAGCCCATCACTACAAGAAACATTTTTATTATACGTTACTCAGACACAATGGTAATAAAGGCACATAAATCAACAACCCTTGGCTTTCCAACCCAGATTTATTCACACTACCCTTTAAAAAAAAAGCCAAATTAAATACTATAATTGTTGCTCAAATTCATGTCAGTGTATGCAAGCAGACTGGACTATTTGGACATATATTCTGGATCAGTAACTACATGGTTTCTTACCCAAGTCTAAAACTGAAGCATAAGTAAAATGATTATTTTGTGATTACAAACCTGAAAAAAACAAAAAGCTCATACCAGAAACATGAATAAAAATATAAAAATAAGCAGCAGAACACGGTCTAGTCAAGATAAATTAGTTATGCATGTTACACACAGATGACTGAATAACGGGTTTACTAGAGTCTGCGTCGGGTCCTGGTGATTCTGTCCAGCTCCTCAGCCCCTTGAAAGCACTGTGTGCACTTTAATGACAGTAGTGCTATTATTACTAATGTTCTCAGCTCAGCACCTAAAAAGGAGTAACAGCTCACCCAACAAAAACAGGTTTAAGCACCCAAATTTGCAAATGTCATTCTAAAGGCCTGTTCACACCGTGACGAATTTCGCGCGAGTTATTCGCCGACGTCTAATGCCTCGTGACTAAACAATGGGCCAATGTGAGTTCACACCATAGACTGTAAGGTTCACACCGACGCGTAAAAGCGTAATTTAAAAAAAAAAAAACGCCTCAGGTTCGTTTTTTTAGTTTGACACGCCGCGTCAAACTATCCCACCAATGAAATCGGCGCTTTCGCTCACGTGTTTGGAGCTTCTGAAGAGACAGTAAAACACAACTTGGGGGCGCTCAAACACAAAACGGTCTTGCCGAGCACACATATGCAACGGTGAAGAAGATATACGCGTCGCCGTCTATACCATAGATATGTATATAAAGGCTAGATGTGTTACGGCGGAGTTTCTATCGTCATCACCGGCGGCCATCTTGTCACAGACAAGCTGACGTAAGATGAGTGGTCAGCATGAACACAAATACTCTTATCTCGTTGAAATCTTGACGGATTTACAAACGGTTTGGTTTCTTACAAACGTTATTAATGTGGCTATAATTATCTGGATGATTATTTATTTATACACTTATTATTCATAAGTATGCAGTGTCATAGCTACATCTCTGACGTTTATAACAAAACAAACCGTTTGAAAATCGGTAGAAAATTGAGCAAGTTATGGTTATTTAAATAGTACATGTACCATTAACACAATGTTACGAGTGAGCGAGCTGCCTGTGACAAGATGGCCGCCAGGTGCAGACGACGACCTCCATTGGCCAGCAGCGCTGACGACACATCTAGCCTTTATATTCATATCTATGGTCTACACAGCCAGGAAGAAATAAGACGAGGAATATGCAAGGCAAGATGAATGTAGAGCTGTTGCTGCTAGAACAAAGAACTATGACAAACGCGACAGGGACTACACACATCTTGATAAAAGATAACTCTTATGGAGTGGTATTGCATGGCAAATGGGCGCCATCTAATGTCAGGGAATGAATTTGCATGTTTTTTGAATTTGCACGAAAAACGCTGACGAATAACGCACGCTGACATTCGTCCCGGTGTGTACGGGCCTTAACCCCTCAGAAACAAAAAAGTGAAGTGCTTTATCGCTGTCATCCCATTTAACGAAGGCAACAGTGACGATCTGTACACAGGTTTGGGTGAACTACTGATTTGTGCGGGACACTGCTGTTAGTTTAGTGTTCCACAGTCCCGCTCGACTCGAGAGATTAATCCACTTTCTAAAATATCCGCTCATCTTTCCTCTTTCCCTTCCTCCAGCTCCACCAGACACAACTCCAGGTTCCTGTGCCTATCCGGATGGATGTTTTCCCTCATCTTTTTGTTGATGTATTTGACCACTTCCTCCGTGCCTTTGGCTTTGGGATGATAGTGATTGAGCAGGTATCCACGGAGGTTATCCTCAGTTCCTGGAGTCACCAATCCGATCAAAAAGCGGAGGAACATGTCTAGGTGTCCGTTCGGAGAAGCCAGCATGCGGTCGATGGCGGGACGGTACATCTCGATCATGGGGCGATCCTTGCTCGCTGTACCTTGCAACCAAGACATTTGGCTCGATATAAACACGTTTTTCGCGTGTTTCCTAAACGCCACGTATACGTACATGGCGGCCATGTACTCTTGTATGGTAACGTGGACGAACTTGAAGACCCACGTCTCTACGTCTTCGCTCGCCCGCTTGACTTCGGTGGTTAACTCCTCCCGCGAGCGCAAATCCTCATAGGTCAGGCTAACGTTTTTCAAATCGGCGACTTTAAACCAGTCCCGTCCCTCTAGAATCATGCGATACGCCATCTTCCCCATCATCTCTAGAAACGTCTTATCTACATCCCTCCACTTTTGATCCTCCACGTTACAGCCGCGAAACTTCTCGAACGCGCGGTTCATCTGGACGACGATGTACTGCGAATAAAACGCCGTGATGCCGGGTGGATGTTTGCCGTAATCGGGATCTCGAAACGCCCGTTCGAAGATAAACGCCACCATCCAGCTGAAGAGAGGAAGATGGCAGATGATTTCGAGAGCTTTGGAGCGCTTCATGTGGTTATAAACCTTAATACCGAGCTCGGGTTCGGTTGTTCTCTTGGTAAAGTACTCTTTCTTGGCTTCATCCGTGAATCCTCTCAACTCCACGAAGCGGTCGATTAAATTGGACGGGATTTTGTAGGCGGCGCTGACGTGGCTGGTGAGCCAAACACACGCGTTAGGAAGCAGCGTGCCTTTGATTAGGCTGGTGAGGATGGCATCAAGTGGCGCTTTCTGCCTGGCACTCGTTACGATTTCATTGTTTTCGAAGTCCAGTTTATGACGGCAAACTTCTATCCCGTCGATAATGAACAGACTCAAGCAATCTTCCTTCTCGAGGAATCCGATTTCTTCAGCTTCAGCGAAATAGTTTGAGAGCGTCTCTAGAAAGCTCAGATCTCTACCTTTCTCAAGGTGCAACTCCTTCGCCGGCATTGGGAACACTAGTTGAAAATCCTGATTGTTTTTTTCCTCCATCCAATCAATGAGGAACTTATTCACGGCCACCGTTACACCGCAGGCAGGGATCCCCGTCATCATGACCGTACGGATTGGTTTATGGTCAGAGGGAAGCGGGCGGAAGATGTCGGCGGCCCTGATTGCCGTCTCCTCGATCGTGTACGGGATCCGCTGGACCTCGTTCTCAGGGTTGATGGGGTCTCTGCTCCCCCTGATGACGGTTACGGGTTCGACGTAGACGTCACTGATGTAGCGCTGCTGACCTGGACGGCATCGGCCCTCGTAAAGATTGTAATAGCGCCTGTCGTAGGCAATTTTCAGATCATATCGTAACAACGCTGCGAAGGAACAAAACAGAAAAATTGTGAAGGAATTGTGCTTTTTTACATGCAAGGTTTATTCTATACCACATTATGTACACTGAACTAATTAGCCATATTCAAAAATGAAAGGAAGTGTTCACTCAAAAGTTATAATTGTGATGCATGAAATTTGACACATTACAGGGTTTGAGACCATATTAAAGCTTGGTTCAAGTCCTTTCCAAATCTGTTTTTATTTCTTTTATCGTTTGTCTGTAACAAAAGTTATGGTTATCTGAAATCGGCTGATCGCTATGATTTTCAGGAATGTAATTTTGAGAAAAACAGGTTTAATTAACGGTCACGTCCTGCTCACGGGACGACTGGCGCCCCTTTTTTTATTGCCTTTTTCCATATCACATATTTTAGTATTCATCATAGATTAGGTATCATTCGAAAGCTTACAAACTCAAAATTCATCCTGTGAGAACCATTTTGAAATTGGACGATTGAGAGGCGAGCAAGATCTTTTAAATGAGCAGCTTCAAACTCTGTTGTTCTCTTGTGCTCCGCATCACACCACATGATAACGCTGGACAAAAATAAATAAATAAAAACTTGCGTGCCGTTGTAGTTCACCCAAGACTGGACTTTATTCTGTTATGTGGTTTATT